TTCGATATTATTGCGATACTCCAAAACATATGGTAAAAGGTTAATAAAAAAAGTACTGTTGATTAAAATGCTAAATTTGATATTGGATTGTAGGTTTAAATGAATTGATGCAATAGAGACACCAGAATAACAATATACATGATTCTAAAGCTGAAATTACTGAGTTATTGTAGCGAGATATATTTAAAATAATGTCGGACACTTTTTACTGGTAACATCAGACATTTGGCATTATCAGGACACACAAATATTCCCACACTGCATTATTATACATTATAATCAACATTATAGTAGTTTAATGTAGTACTGACACGAAAACTCTGAAATCGAATTTTTATTTTGGGGGGACTATCCACGATACATATTGTTGCATTTTTGTATTGTGATATATTGCGGCACGATATATTGTTATTATTGTTAATCAATCAATGTTCTAAACGGAATTACTTTTATAGCTTTAATGACAATCATGTTTATTTAATTCATACAGTGAATTTTTACATTTGATTATTAATTTTCTGTTTCGTACATTATCGCATTATTTCACAAGTTAACGAATATCGCACTTTTCTTCAATATCGTGCAGCATCTAAAATCTAAAAATGTGGTTGTTGGAAATGGAGAAGCTGGTTGACCACTGTTCTAGTCATGCACGTAGTTATAGCTCAATGTAATGTGATGCTGATTTAGAATCTGTCTCTCAGGCTCACATAATAAGGATAATAAAGCACAGGCACCTTTTAGTCTGATATAGTCTCCCCAGACAGATGCAAACAACACATATGTCCAAACAAGTGCGTCAGTCATAAATATAGCCTGAAACTGCCAGCCTTGAGATCTGCTGAAACATAAAGTGTGAGAATGGCATGCAGTACCAAGAGGTATTTGGAGAGGTATGAGGGGAAAGAAAAACACTTTTGCTAATAATTTACTCACCCCCATGTCATCCAAGATGTCCATGTCTTTCTTTCTTCAGTCGAAAAGAAATTAAGGTTTTTGATGAAAACATTCCAGGATTTTTCTCCATATAATGGACTTCAATGGGGACCAAGCGGTTCAAGGTCCAAACGAGCGTTTCAGTGCAGCTTCAAAGGGCTTTAAACGATTCCAGACGATGAATAAGGGTGTTATCTAGCGAAACGAGAGGCCATTTAAAAAGTAATTAAAAAAGTTTAAGTTTTACAAGCACAAATGACTCTCGTGACTCTCCTGTTCATCAAAATGAACGAATCTTTTTTCGACTAATTTTGTTCGTTGAATTAACCAAATGACTCGAAAAAAGATTTAAGGTTAAAGATTTAAAAAGATTTCGTCTGGTGTCGTTTAAAGCCCTTTGAAGCTGCGCAGAAACTCTCATTTGGACCTTGAACCGTTTGGTCCCCATTGAAGTCCATTATATGGAGAAAAATCCTGGAACATTTTCATCAAAAACCTTAATTTCTTTTCGACTGAAGAAAGAAAGACATGGACATCTTGAATGACATGGGGGCGAGTAAATTATCAGCAAAAGTGTTTTTTCCTTTAACACAAGTCTCCAACATTTTTTCCCATTGAGTAAGGCTCATAAAGCTCTGAGGACTGAAACGAGAGGCTGCTTGAAGTCACCTTGATCAAGGGCACCAGATGACATGCAAGTCTTCATTTCTATATATTTAGGTCACTTCCAAACAGACCGTAACAGCCCAAAATAATGATGGATTCTGTTTGCGTCTGTTAGGTCCAGTCGAGCAAGTAAACACTTCAGATAACAGATCAGGTATTATTAGAGGAAAGCAGAGACTGCCGTCTCAGAGCCAATACAGCAGGTGAGCTGTGAGATTCGTCCCATCCATATTAATGAATGCAAACTTATTTATTTTCAAATAAATAATGAACAGATGGTGGGGCAGTGAAGCGTGCCCTGTTTTAGCAAAACTGCAACAGAATGTATAGAATAATCGTATGGATAAAAGATGGATGGGAAATGTTAATAGTGGTGCTTGCAAGACATTGTGTTCACTTGTACTATCAGCAATTGGATTTATTATGAGCATTACTGATGTGAAGTTTTTAAAGAAAGGATTTTATAAAAAAATAAATAAAAATGAAATGACTTGTCGCAGTCGTTTCATGCACCGAGAGACAGATTCAGCGGAGATAATAGTTTTTCAGTCCACTATACGGTCATCTGCAAAGATCAGGGGTGCCAAACGCAACCCAACTCAAGTCATTGTTGACCTTCTGTGTGTGACTTTTAGCTGCGACTGTTATTAAGGAGTGAAAGAGAGCGAGCATGCATTATTTATACGGCTACAGTCACTCTAAAAGTCCTTTTACAAGAGAAAATCCATCAGTATCGTTGCTTTTTATCATGTCCGCCGGACAAACGTTATTGATGTCAGAAGAAACAGTGTCCTGGAACTGAGCGTTATGGTACTCAGGTTTATTAAAATGCATGATTGTTCATCCTGACCTCCATTTGGAAAATATGCATGACCTTTCCCCGGTCACAAACACCATTCCACCAAACAAGATCTGATCCACAAAGCCTCTCATCCACTAAAACTGTTTTTGCTGCTTAATATTGTTGTGGGTTTGAAATATATTTAAATAGAAATACATGCTTTGTTTCAAAAACAGTCAAAAAATAAAAATAAAAATCATAATTAGCTTTTGAAAGGTATTACACACACACACACACACACTCTTTAGGTGCAGGTATGCATCTCTGTAAGCATAGTGTATGCTAAGATAATGAATATTCCTTTAAGACGTGAAGGGAAGAAATGTTTGGAGGCACATGAACAATAGAGCCACCTACAAACCAGCTGAAGATTAAAGCAGTTCCTCCAACCGCTCTTATAAAAGGATCAAGGGATCCGTAGCATCCCAAACATGGCTAAAGGATCTTGACACTAAGACACAGAAGGATGGAGCATGCTAAGAGTCTATATATATATATATATATATATATATATATATAAGAGGTGTAACAATACTCTCATGTCCCGATTCGATACATAACAAGATCAACCCATTTTGGTGCATGTCTCTTTAAATGATAATGAGCAAGTACTGTTGACCAGAGCCCGTCTAACGGAGAGCCTTGGCACTTCCTATTAGCCCCGTTGTGTATCATCTTGGTTGCAGTTCCATTAGAATTCCACTGGAGGTGATCACGGGGCGAGAGCAGAATGAATGGGAGTCTATGGGGCTAAACGGCTAAATGTGTCTCTTTCACCTGCTTGTCGTTAAATCAACATAGATTTTATTGTTGATTCCGCAAGTTCAATATAGATTATAGGCCAAAAGCCGAATGAACGAGTACTTATGTCCTTTTGATGTCTTACAGGTTAGGCTGTTGTTGGCCGGAACACGCGAGCATTCTGCTATTGTGTGACGTCATCACAGTTTTGAACGGATTTTTAGAACAGATAAGTGAACTTAAAAATGCAGTGCATTATCTTAGCCCGCCCTTTTGAATGCAACTTTCAAATTACTTGACAAAAAATTACATCCTGAGAAAAGTGGATTTCTGGATTGACTCCCATTCATTCTTCAATCGACCGCGAGCGCCTCCGCATGGACAGAGACGCGTTACTGCAGCCAGTCCAGAACCCGGAAGTAACTCTTCAATTAGACATTCTCAAGACAGCTGCCTTGGCTAATCGCAGAAACATGCTAAAACGGGAAGTATGTCAGCGGTGGTGGGCGGAGCATGAGCAATATGACATCATATTGCTCAGAAAATCCAAATGCTTGACTATTGAGAGTGTTTAGGCTTTTTGAGGATTAAAAAAGGGAGTGAATGGATTTTTTTCATTGTATGGTGGTTGTGTCCACACACTGAAAAGACACATTTATATGCACCGTTTTGCATCCGATGAACCCTTGAATGAATTCTTAAAGTAGCAGCATCACCTTCCTGAGGCAGTATCGCCTTAGAGAAAAAACAGTTCATAAAAAGCAAAAAAAAAAAAAAAAAAAAAAAGTGAATATCTTATCTCTGAGGTTAAGATGTAGACGTAAAGTCTAAACCTTTAACCAGCTACCGGCTTAACAAATTACATTCAGTTCTAAAGTTGAGGAGCAATGGAAAGGCATCAACATCAGACACCAGCTCTGATGCTGCAAACTCTCAAAGCTCAACCACTGAGGAACAAACCACCTGCATTCAATCTGAACTCCCAGAAGAACAGAAGGGTTTTAAATACAGAAACTGAACAGAACATCTGTCAGCTTGTGTTATTCAGACCAAAGCATGTGTCTCGCCTACAACTCCGAGAGCTCAGTCATGCTTCAGTCATGTCAAGCTGCCTGTTCTGTTCTGTTCTGTCTGATCACCATGACAACCGCGTGAAAGCTGGAGTAGCCCACCGGCGAAGACAGCCGTCACACAAAGTATTGACATTTTCCTCATTAGAAAACACATCCAGTGCTGCTGGTGATATGAATAAAAATTGAGAATCAGAGGAAAGGGTTTTGATTGATAGAAATGGCAGGTGTTTCATGGGAAGTGTAAGGACAGGCACAGCACAGTCGCTCATGAAAGATTGATTGCATGAAACACTGATCCATACAGGTTATCACCTGTCATTCTACCCGTCTAGACTTTAAAGATGTGTTTGCTTATGAGAAAGGCTACAAGATTGTGCACAAATCGATCTGAAAATCTCACTCTTTCTCAGAGGATAATAAATTACAAAATTTGTGTTGGAACTTGGGACAGAGGAGAAGATTAAACTTAAACCTTTCTGACTGTTTCCAGACTAAACTGTTTTAACTGAAAGCAACTTCAACTGGCATATCTTAAAATATGTCAGTGTCAAGATGCACATCAGTAATGTTTTTTAAAAAGCTAAAAATACGTTTATAAAAGCTAAATGCCATCATTTATTTAAGGCGCAATCCTGGCTTAATCTAAGCCTTGTCTGTGAAATCAGACCATAAAGTCTTTTAAAGTAGAATCACTAACAACAACAAATTAGGCCAAATAAAGCATAAAAATAGCCTAACATTACCTGTTTGGTTTGGCCTTCTGATAAATCTGAGGTGCTGTTTGCTGTCCTATCACATGACAGATCACATGCAGCCCAACCTGAAAAAGATGAGAGGCGTGTCTCTTTTAGCTAAGTGTTGCTGCATCACAATTAGACTTACAATGCCCTAAAGTACTTACTATGCCCTAAAAGTACTTAATATGCCTTCAAAGTACTTGCTATGCCCTAAAAGTACTGACTATGCCCTAAAAGTACTTACTACACCCTAAAAGTACTTACTATGCCCTAAAAGTACTGACTATACCCTAAAAGTACTTACTACACCCTAAAAGTACTGACTATGGCCTAAAAGTACTTACTACACCCTAAAAGTACTGACTATACCCTAAAAGTACTTACTACGCCCTAAAAGTACTGACTATGGCCTAAAAGTACTGACTATACACTAAAAGTACTTACTACACCCTAAAAGTACTTACTACGCCCTAAAAGTACTGACTATACCCTAAAAGTACTTACTACGCCCTAAAAGTACTGACTATGGCCTAAAAGTACTGACTATGGCCTAGAAGTACTGACTATACCCTAAAAGTACTTACTACGCCCTAAAAGTACTTACTACGCCCTAAAAGTACTGACTATACCCTAAAAGTACTTACTACGCCCTAAAAGTACTGACTACGCCCTAAAAGTACTAACTATGCCCTAAAAGTACTGACTACACCCTAAAAGTACTTACTACGCCCTAAAAGTACTGACTATGGCCTAAAAGTACTTACTACACCCTAAAAGTACTGACTATACCCTAAAAGTACTTACTACGCCCTAAAAGTACTGACTATGGCCTAGAAGTACTGACTATACACTAAAAGTACTTACTACGCCCTAAAAGTACTTACTACGCCCTAAAAGTACTGACTACGCCCTAAAAGTACTTACTACGCCCTAAAAGTACTTACTACGCCCTAAAAGTACTGACTACGCCCTAAAAGTACTTACTACGCCCTAAAAGTACTGACTACGCCCTAAAAGTACTAACTATGCCCTAAAAGTACTGACTACGCCCTAAAAGTACTTACTACGCCCTAAAAGTACTGACTACGCCCTAAAAGTACTGACTATGCCCTAAAAGTACTTACTATGCCCTAAAAGTACTGACTACGCCCTAAAAGAACTTACTACGCCCTAAAAGTACTGACTATGCCCTAAAAGTACTGACTATACACTAAAAGTACTTACTACGCCCTAAAGGTACTGACTATGCCCTAAAAGTACTGACTATGCCCTAAAAGTACTTACTATGCCCTAAAGGTACTGACTATGCCCTTAAAGTACTGACTATACCCTAAAAGTACTGACTATGCCCTAAAAGTACTGACTATGCCCTAAAAGTACTGACTATGCCCTAAAAGTACTGACTATGCCCTAAAAGTACTGACTATGCCCTAAAAGTACTGACTATGCCATAAAAGTACTGTTTTTAAAAGAAAAAGTGATTGGGGGACACTCCAAAAAATTGATTAATCACTCAAACCACGTTTTCTAAACCTCTAATCTAACCTCACGTCTAAGAAAATTATTCATAAAACATAAATATCAGTTGACTCACTGACACAGACCAAAATGAAAAGACTATCGATCAACGCTCAGCTTTGGGATGGGAAGATATACAGGGCAAGATAAGGAGACTGAGGAAAAACAGAAAGAGAGAGGCTGATGGAGATGAAAATAAGAGCAGGTATTGAAACAACATTTAAGGCCATTTCTGTTTGTAATATGTGATTGTGTATTGCCAATAATAATCATAATTGTCTGTTTTTCCACTTTTTAGTGTGGATCATTCATTCATTTCAACATTTAACCTGTTTCTCATGTTTAAGAATATGTTAGCGTGACAAATAATTCATGCTTCTGCACACTGACAGGGTTTTAAAGCTATTGTTATCCAATTTTTTGTCTTCAAAATACACTCATGATAAAAGTCTGATAAAACACACAGACAGAATGCAAAATCCTGTTTAGCTGACCAAGTAATTTTCTGTTCATGTATTTGCTATATTTCTTCATTTGAAGGATATGTGGTGTGTGTTTGAATTCTGAAAACAGGAACAAGCCAACAACACACACACACTCACACACACTCACACTTGTGTTCTCCATCAATCAGCCTGTATATTAATAATTTCCTGTTTGAATTAAAGCATTGAAATGCAGCTAAATGAAGTGCAGTTGTGCAGCAGTGATTGTGAGTGCATCTGTCTTCATCAGACAGACTGACAGGCTGCATATATCAGCACAAGCGCTGGGAATGAACAACCCGAGAGATCCGTCTCTAATCAATTCCTATTAGTTTAGCATTTCTCATGCAGCCAGGGGCCTCACGGGACACATAAACGGCAGATCAAATTTGAGCAATATGTTTGATGAAAAGATGAGACAGGATCATGTGTGGTAGGCCTATCTGAACTGCGTGTGTTTGTGTGTGCTGGCCATTTATCACCAATTTCAATTTTACAATTTAAATGTCTCATCCATGCAGAGATTCTTTTTTTATCAAACCATCCTTTAACATTAGTGTCACATTATCAACAATGAGGAACGCGGAACATATTTTTCTTGCCAGGTTTCTCAGATTAGGTATTATTATACATTTTATATTAATTACTAAAGACTGACGCGCTGCTGCCCCCTTCTGGATAGCGGGAGTGCGTGCGGCACCAAATGACATCAGCAGGTCAGAGAGTTTAGTCTATAAACAGTGACAGATAGTGCTGCCGCAACACAGTTATGGATATAATGCAATAATGGATGTCTGCCGAAAGTTAGCAACATAATGTTGGCATACCCATTCATTTATTTTCTTTGTTGACGTATTTCCTATAAAAACAGAAAGTTTAATCACAGATAGGGCTTTTTTTATTTTACATAAAAACCTGGTTGAAACTCTTTTTACCTGATAGCAATCAATAATAGATGTTTGTGCTAGGTAACCGGTAACATGACGAAGGATTAAGGATTTATGATTGCACGCCTGTGTATGTTACTCCATCCACATCAGTCAAACACACAATTACATAGATCAACAATAGAAGTGGTCTAAATATTAAAACACGTTCTTCTGTGGAAGTCGCAGGACCAAAAAAATATTAATTCAAACCTTGCATTCAGTCCAAAAGCAATGATAGGATGTCCCACCTCTCAATCCATCAGCCGGAAGTTGAAGCCTCGCGGGAGGAGCCGCCATTGTAGCAGGACTTCTTTTTATTTATTTTTATTTTTTTTATTGAACAATAAGAACAAAACAAAAATAGAATATATATCTACAGTGGCATTGACAAATACAGGTAAATGAGTATTTAGCAAGGCACATATCACTTAAGGTAAAATAAATAAATAAAAATAATTACAATGAAGAAAAAAAAAACATTTTAAAAAAATAACAGTAACAATAAATTACAAAGGGGTCACTTTATTCCTCTTTTAAAAGCTCAAGGTCTCTTATAATTCCAGTCAATTTCTGGGCCTCCTTACTTTTCATACATTCAAAAGCTGGAAAAAAATTACAAATCAAGTCTTTTTCATTATAGCAGGACTTCACCTGCTCCATTGACTCCCATTCATTTTGGCATCACTTTGACAGCGAATAACTTTACATCTGAGGCGTCCATTTGTCCATTATTTATTTCTAAAGAAACACGACAATGTATAAAAGGCTATTACCTTGTATGTTACATTATGGCCCCGTTGAAGCAGTTTTTGTAAAAATAGGCTAACTAACGATTGCGTCATAACGAATCGACTCTCTGTCGCACACAAATAGAGAAATTACCGTATAGACCAGAAGAGAAGCTCATAGGCAATCGGAGGGATATGGAGGTATAAAGTCTGATAAAGTCCATAAAGAGGCATAGAGTTGATCCTGCTGCTCATGGACAGCTAATACTCTCTCTCTTTCCGACTCTGTGAAATTCGGAAGGGAATTATTCAGATTTCACTCGGTACAGCTACTAGAAGACATACAGGCGGCTAACGTGGCAGTAGGCCTGGCGACGGGCTTCAATTTTCTCTGTTGAAATCAATGGGGTCGCTGTTTCCATTTCTTTTACTGTCTATGGCCGACAGTCATCGCCACAAACTAACAGCAGCCACCTTTTACAGTTCCTCCTGGACCAAAACAAGCTTATGCTGCGTTCATGACAGACTGTTGTAACCGTAATTATGAGACGGCAACCAGTGACGCTCTACCCGGAGCTGGTCCCATCCTCAGACTCGGATTTAAGTGGACGAAGTGGACTGTCTTTATAAAAGATCTTCTTATTAAACTCTCTGTACACTTCCAACGTTCTCAATGCTTCGGTTTGCATGTAGGGACCCTCATTATGTTATTTTGTTAGTGTGGGGCTATTTTGAGCCTTGCTAGTGGCCATTTTTATTTTTCATTACTCTATGCCCGCTAAACAGTTTTTAGAGATAAAACTCTTTACATTCGATTATCATGAAAACAGATCTCAGAGAAGTTACGGTCGACTAGGTACCAATGTGTTATTAGACCAAAGGTTCATTTTGCGACGGAGTTCTCCTAGTAAGTGTGCTTAGAAAATGAACCCCAAGCCAAGTACTCATAAGTTTGTCCACTAGATGTCCCTACTGTTTCTTTTTAAAAGAATATCAACTCTCAAGTGCCCAGAACAAGCCACTGGAGAGTTAGTTCATAGACTAGTTACACTGAAGTGTAGGCTACTGGATTAGTTGGCACTGATTTTTCTTGACAGCCCAAGCAATTTAAAGATCTGATGTGAAGACAAGGAGACTTTCTTTACTATTTGTTAGGTCCCATTCATATTCACGGTCTCTAAGCTTAATTTAAACTACATGGATTTTTCCTATGATTATAAGTGTAACATCTGTGACTTTACTTAATAAAACACATGCAGCATTACTTTATGAAAACATATGACAGCCAGACAGCTTTGCTGTGACATATTGATAACCATTCAGGTTTATAACAAGAATGTCATTTAGAGATAACTTAATTGCTGTCTTTTCATATGAAGCACAGAGTTTCATAAACAGTGCGTCACATCTGTCCAGTCCACATCCTTCAACAGGGACATCTGTGAGGAATCCTCGAGAAAACAGATTTAATGTATGTTTCAAAGAGTTTAGATGTCTACGGAACAAGGCGATGAGCTATTAGAATTAAATGTCACTTCACCAAACACGAGAACGATTGGGCTGTAATTCTATATTACCGCTGATCTCTGTTGCATTATCGCTGGTCAGAGGTTATTGTTTCAGCTGGAGTTTGAAGAAATTATTTCTCACCATGAGTGGTCAAGCAGAGCCTGGGGTCAGATAACACTCACCTGTGTTGACCATCAATGCCGCAGTAGTTCCATTGCCATGGCAACACAAACTTCATAATAATAATTCTGGAAAAGTGGCAGCGTAGGCCAACAGTCTTCAGGCTACAATAACCCACGTTTTGTATTCCTGCATGTTATTCCTGTGCTCCTTTAGGTTACCTTTACATTGTTATGATTTACAGGCTACATTGCATGTGACAAGATAATATTTAAAAACATTATGCAATATTAAACAATGCAATATTAAAGCAAATCTCAATCCATTTTAAAATATCCAAGTAGTTCACCAGTTGTAGCCTACCTTTCAAAATTATGTATTTACGTGAAAAATAATTATTTTCAGCTTAGTGGCCAGGCTCCAGTAGGCTAGCTATATCACTGTTTTTGACTGATAGCATCTTTACAAAGACTCTAACGACAATATTTAAAATATTACTAATACTGTACTGTAGGCTAGAAGTTTGTGCTGTCACTGTGACATTTCAAATGTTATTTTTAATTTAGATTAATATATCGGCCATATCGTGAAATGAATCAGCATTGGCCAGTGCAATGTTAATAGTGTCTGACTCTGATGTGATGCATCTCTTGTTCTTCAAAGCAACAAAACGATGAACTTCATCACAGACCATTGAACTTCACCAGCGGACACTCACTCCAACAAGCCTCGTGTCCGTCAAACGGCTCCATCTGTTCGCATGCTGAAGTTCCCCTCGTGTTCTGCTGTCAGACGTGCGCGCTCATGTCTAACACACATCTGTATGAGTGTTGGGGTACGAGCTCAGGAGGAGAGCAGGCATCGCTGAGCAGCTGAGCGACAGAAGAAACCACGACACTTCTAATATTGCACATGCAGTCTCGTGTGAGATAAAAACCTCCTCAACACTGCGTGGGAATGTTCAATATAAGCATGGGAATGTAATTTTAGTAGGCAGGTGTTATTGACATTTAGAATAGTGTTTTGGTCTCTCAGGTTAAAGAGTTTACTCAGACCTGAACTTCCAGACTGTCATGATCTGTATCCTCCTCCTCCTTGCCACTGTTTACTTTGGACTCAGGATTCATGCGTTGGGTTTTGTTACTCAGAGGGGATGATTGTTTAATTCAGTTTTTCTTTCCTCTTTTTTTCTTCATGGCAGTTCCCTCGAGGCCAAACTTCAGAAGAAAAGCCAGTAGATTTCGATGATGTACAAGCAGAGCATTTGTTTTACTCACCCTTGAATCAAAGTTTCCTTTGTGTGTGGGACCGGATCTTTTTCCCAGGCCTCATGCAGACTCCGTTGAGTTCAAAACAACAAAGAGGCCTGCGTCTCCGCGGACTAACAAGAGCTAGAACAGAATCACAGAGCTCCGGGCAGAGAGATGGTCAACAGCCTGAGTAAACAGATCACTGGATCACACTGACTGCACACATGCTCCATAACAAAGCTGGCTATTACCCGGATATTATGCAATGTAATTCTAGTGTGCTGCCTTTTTTTCTTTTTCTTTTTAAAATTCCGTATATAACACTAAACATTTAACATATGAATATTCTACGCTGTCATTGTGGTTATTTTGCATATCATACTTGCATACTTTTTTTTTTTTTTGAGAACATTGCATTGTGGGAAATAATATCATAGTGTATTCTGTCTGCATACTGCATTAAATTCCAGATATTCTATGCCGCTATTGGAGAAAATGTGCATATTGCATAATGCAAAAATAGTAGTCTTGATTTATCAGTAACTCACCCGTGTCAGGTCAGGCAACCAAACATTCTTAGTAAAAGATAATAATGCAAGTGAAAAACTTATCTTAATTACGCATAGGTATGTAAATAGAGTGCAACAGCTGGGTTCCAGAAGAAAAAACTCCATTCACTTTCTCCATATAGCCTAGAAATTGATTTTAAATGAGAATTTATAGGCTAAACCTTTAAAAACAGACCTACTGTGAGCTATACGAGGTTGTTACTCGCTTCTGCTGAAGACTTCAACACGTGTTATTTCATCCCTTTTTTTTAAAATAATTGTGTTTAACAGGAAAACATAAGAATCCTGGTGAAAAAATACATTACCCATAATGCTGTACAGAAAATCACACCAACAGTGAGCCGAAAAACGGCTCACCTGCCAAAACAGCTCTTTAGCTCCGCCCACTCCTATAAAGCACCGCGAATGACATAATCGAGTCATCTCTCTCAAAATACTTAAATGTTTGTATACATATGCATATTTTGCGAGTAGTTTTATATTTCTTCATTGTTTTTAATTCGATTATGCTGTTTGCAATGCTTCATGGGTTGGTAGTTCCCTTATTAAAGTCGTGTACCTTTGTCTTTTTGTCCGATTTTCGAATAAAAGTTTGTGTTGTGATTCACCTCGTAGTTGATTAGCTTGGTTAATGGCTTATAGCTAACTCTTGAACAAAGTCTGATTAGAAAAAAATACTTACGGATCCAGTGCCGTTGAAAAACGTGACTGACTCTGTTACTCTGTAGGCCAAAACGCGGAAGTGAGTTAGCATTGTAGCATTACGGTTCCCTCGCTCTAAAGCCTATGGGATTTTTGAATGGGTTTTTGCTAAATCGCCTGAAATAAGGTCTGTGGTGAACAAAGCCTCTAAATATTTTCACGTTTTGATCTATGACATAGAACACACAGTTATAACCTGCTTGTGGTTTTTTAAACTTTATTGTGTCTGATTGTGTTTTTTAAAATTTTTATATAGGCTTCAAAAAGTATACATTTTGGATTAACTTGTAGATTATCTTTCTAGACCAAACGTGTAAGGGTCAAAACCCTTTGTTAAACACATCTTATTTTTTGCGATTTTCCAAAAGTCTATGGGGAAAATGCATTGCTTTTCGACCGAGGGAACCCATGCGCCGCTAGCTTCCGGGTTGTCCTACAAAGTGACGTCATCATTTCGGCACTCTATTACTCTTTTCTATCTGATACCTCGTTATAGCCAAATTATACAGCATCCTATGAATCCTTCACTGAGAAGGCAACCCATTTTTCAGCGTATTTTAATTTTTATTAGGGTAAGACTGCTAGCTTAGCAACATGCTAACACCAATCTTGACAATATTGAAATCAACAGGGAGTCCAGTCTATATTTTTGTTTGCCATGTACACTATTAGTTTAGTAGCAAACTCACTGAAATCAATACCGAACCAAGTGTCTAAAGTAATATGTGAGATGCTCATAAATGTTCCAAATCAGTCTCTTATAATGCTTGAAAGGAAGATTTTGGAACAGAGATACTCTACAAAACCACAGAAGTTCAATCTGAACACACTTTCCATGATTTCAGCGTGTCTCTTTGAGACTTGTGTTGGGATGTTTTGCTAGCTGGCTAAAGCTCTCTGCTTTGTTCTCCAATCCCGAGGTTAACGATTTTCCGTCGTGGGAGGCGGGGGAGAGAGCGACGGAATTAGGATTCAGATCCCACCCTCAGCGCGAGCGCCTGTCTGCTGCCTACCCAGCAACCCCGGCGCTTTGTGACAAGGAGATGGATGATATCTGCAGCCTGGCCGGTCGCTCTATAAAGACACACACACACACACACACACACACACACACTTCTCAAAGCCGGCAAGGCTGTGCGCACACACATTCACACATGTAACTAATGTTGTGCTGCTGCTGCTGCTACCACCTTTAACGTGTAACACACAAAAGACAACGCATTGTTTATTTACTTCATTCATGAAATTGCGCTTATACATGGAGGGAGTATATAAAAGTGTGTTAAGGTAATGATTTCATCTATTAGTAAGTTTCAATAAGTAATTTATACCAGAAGAAGAGAAGGACACCAAATTAATACAGTGATATAAACAGAATTTATTAGTAAACATCTACAACATTTGAAAATACAAATATGCAAGAGGACAAACAAGACTATTAGACTATTATGAGTGTGTGTGTGCAACTGTGTGAAAGCAGAATGTCAAAGGATCTGTCTTCTCTTGTCCACCTCTAATGCAGGAGTGTGTGTGTCAAACTCACCTGCTGAAACTGCCACTGCAAACTTGCGCGCACACACACACACACACACACACAAACAGCTTCATTTCTATGTTGGGAAAAGGGTTTGTGATTTGGAAAACTGTGTGTGTGTGTGTGTGTGTGTCTTGTTTTCCAATAAAAAATATTTAGACATCCTTAAAACAAGATACATTAATATTATATATAAATTGTTATAAAACTAAATATATATATATTAGGATATATATATAGTCCCTCTTTGGTGCTTTTCAAATACATTTATCTTGTTTCTTCTTTATTTATTGTTTCTTCTTGTTTTTTATTCTTATTTATCTTGATTTTTTTAACTGGAAAACAAGGCAAAAATACTGATATTTATTTTTCAATGCTGTGATTGTGTTTTGAAATTATGAAATTGTTGTATGGCATATGTTAGTGATTAGTAAGCATATATATATAATGATACCTGCAATTATTGTGATTTACCTGCAAGCTGAAAATAACACATTCTACACCTAAAAAAGAGAAAAAAATGGAGCAATTAAAACCATTAATTCAATCAATCAATTAATACAAAAACAACATCAAATACACCTTAGGGATGATTTTGGACACTCATTTAACTTGTTAGTTAATTTCAGGATACTGACAGGTTTATATCTCCGCCAGAGCTCACTGTGTGTCTGGGTTGTGTGTGTGTGTGTGTGAGGATTGCTGGAGTGCTCACACAGCTTTTCGTGCAGGTAAAGGGAGCACCTGCGGCCATCGCTAACCACCATCCGACGGGAGGACGACGCTCGGAGGAGGAGGAGCTTCCACTGGAGTCCGTCGGCGGAGAGAAACCTGCGAGACAGAAGCTAATTATCCTCTAAAGCAAAAAGCCAGTTGTGGTTCAATAACTCCAGCACGCTGCCAGCCAGATACTGCGTTTCCTTGGCAACGCCTCCACAGCAGCACTGCAGACATCACAGAGAAGGCAGGCGGTCACAGGGTACACCGGGCGGGAGGGTGACGGGCCGTCCTCTAGACTGACGCAGGCCAATTACAGGCCATTATTCTCTCCTGAGATTGATTTACTTTCTTTATGTTTGGGGTCCCAGAGATGTATGAAAATAATGACATTTTCAAAATGACTTCAAATTTTTGTAATCACTCTGTCCGACCTAATCAAACCCCATATTGTTGAAGCTTTAACCCTTTAATCACTAAGTAGACGAGCACTTTTTTTTTAGAAATGTGACTGTTATGCACTATAGGGACACTGGGCTACATTTTTTTGTACACTCCCTGGAAAAAAAAAAGGTACAAAAGCTGTCACTGGGGCTGTGCCTTTTCAAAAGGTACACTTTTGTACCCAAAGGCTGTATATTGGTACCTTATTCGTACATATTAGCACCTAAAATATACATCTTAGCCCCTGAAATGTACATATTAGCACCTAAAATGGACATATTAGCTCATGAAATGGACATATTAGCATCTAAAATGTACATATTAGGACCTAAAATGGACATATTAGCTCCTGAAATGGACATATTAGGACCTAAAATTTACATATTAGGACCTAAAATTTACATATTAACACATAAAATGTACATATTAGTAGATAAAATATACATATTACGACCTAAAATGTACATATTACGACATAAAATGGACATATTAGCACCTAAAATAGACATATTAGCACCTAAAATGTACATATTAGGACCTAAAATGGACATATTAGCTCCTGAAATGAACATTAGCACCTAAAATGTACATATTAGGACCTAAAATTTACATATTAACACTTAAAATGTACATATTAGTAGATAAAATATACATATTACGACCTAAAATGTACATATTACGACATAAAATGGACATATTAGCTCCTGAAATGGACCTATTAGCATCTAAAATGTACATATTAGGACCTAAAATGGACATATTAGCTCCTGAAATAGACATACTAGCACCTAAAATGTACATATTAGCTCCTGAAATGGACATGTTAGCACCTAAAATGTACATATTAGCACCTAAAATGTACATATTAGTAGATAAAATATACATATTACCACCTAAAATGTACATATTAGGAACTAAAATGGACATTAGCTCATGAAATGGACCTATTAGCATCTAAAATGTACATATTAGGACCTAAAATGGACATATTAGCTCCTGAAATGGACATACTAGCACCTAAAATGTACATATTAGCACCTAAAATGTACATATTAGTAGATAAAATATACATATTACCACCTAAAATGTACATATTAGGAACTAAAATGGACATATTAGCTCATGAAATGGACCTATTAGCACCTAAAATTTACATATTAGGACCTAAAATGGACATATTAGCTCCTGAAATGTATATTAGTAGATAAAATATACATATTACAACTTAAAATGGATATATTAGCTCCTTTTGAAAAGGTACAGCCCCAGTGACAGCTTTTGTACCTTTTTTCTGAGAGTGTAGGTTTCTCAGCACTTCTGGCCTGGGATGACCATAAAATGTTGGTCCAATCATTGCATTCGGTCCTACCTGCCTGTCAACATATGTATCGTCATACCTCGATGCACTTCATCACACGTCATCAGTGCGTTTCAACCCAAACAAACCCTTTTACAGTCCCTCCTGAACCAAAACAACGAGCTAATGCTGCGTTCACACCATAACTACTGTCACTGGAGGAGATGGAAACCCATGACGCAATACTCACAGCCGTTTGTGACTTGAAGATATGTGTTCAACACTATCAACGTGGAAATCAATCTTCAGCAGTCAGGTGGTACAGGTCAGTGCTCTATTAGTTGTTTACTGTCATTATTATTCTGAAGGACGGATGTGATTTTTAAAGCTAACTTGCTACTGCTAGCTGCTCCGAAAATTGCCCTGCCTTAAAGGTACACACAACAAAACTACACTGTGCACTGGTGAGGACATTGTATAGTTAGGCCTTAACTCTTAAAACAGCATTTTGAGATTGCATCTCCATCACATTGAGCTCTTTTTTAAGTGCTGAAGCTGCTTTAACCATTAAAACAACACAAATGTACACTTTATAATATAATTTTAGGTCCACAACAACAGCCCATTAAAGGGAAAGGCAATGAAAGGTTTGTGATACAGTGGGTAAACTATAAACTGACTTATGAATGGCCTGCGATGGCTTATTGCTTTTTTAACACACCAATATTCAACAGTTAAATTTAATTAACAATAATCTGAATTACGGGAAGTAATATGCCTTTTATATGCAGGATTGATGCATTTTACCCTGGCTTCAAATGTCAATTAGAATTGAAACTCAGAACTATCAGTTTTATCAAATAAGTCTGAGATGATGTCCAATATTATAACTAATTGTGCTATTTTAAATTCAGTATTGACACCATTATGGTCATTATTAGGGGTGTAACGATACCCTCATGTCACGATTCGATACATATCACGATACGATATTATCCAAGACATGATAAAAGGTTAACAAAAAACATACATGTACTACTGATTAAAATGCTAAATTTGAGATTAGATTGTAGGTTTAAATGAATTGGTGCTTGTAACCCAAGGACAATCGAGACACCAGAATAACAATATTCATGATTCTGAAGCTGAAATTACTGAGTCATTGTAGACGAATATGCTTGCGAGATATATTTAAAATAATGTCGGACACTTTTTACTGGCAACATCAGACATTTGGCATTATCAGGACACACAAATATTCCCCCACTGCATTATTATACATTATAATCAACATTATAGTAGTTTAATGTAGTACTGACACTAAAACTTTTTCTCACACAGTAATTTTTATTTTTTGGGGGGGGACTATCCACGATACGTATTGTTACATTTTTGTATTGCGATGTATTGTGGCACGATATATTGTTACACCCCTAGTCATTTATGAATAAGTGAATTCTGTGGCATTTGCTCTGTTTGTGTGCACCTGTTATTTGAAGGGCCCAGTTTCCTCTGACCTGAGCTGATAACATGTCATGCACAACAACAATCCCCGTCAACCGCTGGAAGAAAGCTTCCTGTAATCCTGTAAATTCTCCCGGCTCCTGCAGTTTCTCCTGCTTGAGCTCTCAGTGCCGGATCTACTTTCAGGACCTTTATCCCAGACAAACGTTACGTTTATTTTGATTCCTCCGTGACCAGTCTTTATCTCCTAAAATCATAACAATTATTTAGAATTTAGTTTCTCTGTGTACACTCTTGATACATGAAATACTCTAATTTCAGTTGATTTCTGTATTGTCCAGATTATGCCGTGTATGTTCTTTTATCAGTCCATCTGTTTTATGTGTTGCAAACCTGACATCCAGGCAATTTAGACAATTGATCTCATTTCTTTCTGGAAGTCTGGCTTCTGGCTTATCAGGCAGAAAACGAACAATTGTTTTTGCTCCGATACACACAAATGAAACGAATGAAACGAGTCAAAAACGTAAATCTGAAACCCCATCAGTGAGGCCGAGACACGCTCGCCGGACCATTCAGAAGTCGGGCCGTTTATTAAATAACGCAATCTTCATTCCTGGCTCGATCCAAGTCTTTGTTCCTCTTCTCATCTATAGCTGATGAAATGCCTCATGTGTGTGTGAGAGAGCGTGTGGGCCGAGGGAGAATTTATGTGCTAGCTCAGATGAATAGTGCGGGCGGCACACAAGATTGTATCTGTGCATTGGCAGTGCCAGCCTGTGCCGAGTGTCAGACGGATCCTAATAAAACCGTCTGACCCGCGCTGGGCACCTCGCCGGTCGCGGCTCACTGCTTGGTATGCACAGAGCATGGCAGAGCTTCAGCTGTTGCTGGGAGCGTTGTGGCACAGACCCAGCCTGATTAGTTGGCATCCGCCATTGTTCAGAGCAAAACCAAGCAGGGGAAAAATATAATTAGTTTTCAATTGTTTTGAAACTACAATTCTAATGTGGGTTATTTAGCTAAATTAGCTTTTAAAAAGTTAAACACCCCAGGGAGGCAAATAACAAAGCCGGGCGTATGACTTAATGAGTTGACATCTTTAAAACAGGAACGTCCCAAACATTATGACATCGAGATCCATGTAAACATGGACGCCGGACATGTCTACGGCTCACTAGGTAATAAAGTCTGTGTAAATGAAGGTGTCAGCATATGTTGGTTCGACTTGTTTGGCTATGCATCAGACATATCTTTAATTATTGGATTAAACAACAATAAAATGACATCACATCTGGTGGATCCAAGCAGACGTTTCATTAACAGTGCAGGTGCTGAGATCTTCTATGAAGGGCGTCACCATTAAAACGGTTGTGCATTTTACGTCAGATCAAGATATTTAAAAAATAAAACACAATTTTCGATCGCAGGGAACGAATATCTGAATCCCGGCCCTTCCTCTCGCTGCCGATGTGTGTTATAGATGAGCGACCAGACAGCCAGACGGAGCGATTAGCACGACGACCCTCTCCTGCAGCCCTCACCCCAAAGAAAAACCATCTCAGCAGACGTACAAGATCGAGTTTTATTTCAAAATAAGAAGAAACCATCATCATGTGAACATATTGAACATTCAGACATGCATCCGCTGGCGTTCTCTCTCTTATCTCTCACAGACGTCGGGACACGTCCAGGGGATCGAGTGCTTTTGCCCTCTGCCCAGGTCCCAAGAGCTTAACCTGTGATTTTCAGCACACAAAGCTCACAAGTTAGGGTCTCAGGGACCAGGAGGAGTGCAGCGGTGTCCGCACAGGTAAGTCACACACACACACACACACATATATCGCACCCTCATATCGTCCGGCTCATTCTGCTAATAATGTTCGGCCTATGAAAATAAAAATGTGCC